AAACCATAAAAAAAAAAAAAAAAAAAAAAAAAAAACAAGGGGAAAAGAAAAAAGAAATTTCAGCATGACTATGCCCCATGGCAGGGAGGGGGGTGCTTTCTCTCTGTCCCTGTTTCTATATTTCTCTGTCTCTGTCAAGCACATACACCATCTAACAACTTGGGGGGGGGAATATTATTTTCATAAATATTTTTTAAGGTAGTCATTTTAAAACTATCTTGGATTACGTAAAATGAAGGTAGAATGAGATTAAAGTTAAAATGGAAGAAAATTTGCTAATGAGTGTAACTTGCATGTTTGGTTCTGGGTTAGCTAATGTGCTACCTTGACTCAATTTATGTAACTGCACTTTCTGTGTATTCCATCGTTATAGACAAAGTCATTAACAAATAGAGTTTCTAAGATAATTTACTAAAGCATCTCTTAGACTTTTAATGTTCAGTTAAGTTAGTGAGCTAAAGTCAACTCATAGTTCTTACATTTGGGCTGCAACAAGGTTAAAGCAAAAGGAAAAACACATGGCACAAAATATATGTTTTTATATAACTGTTAGTGGTTCATTTATTCAGAAGTAGGTTTTGAAAGTACTATTCATGGGGGCCAGGGGTGGTATGGTGGTTAGGGCACTGGACTCCCACATGGCCAAAGGCAGTTTGAGTCCCAGACTCAGTGGTTTGAAATTCATACTGGGTGTGTGTGCATCCATGCCCAAAATCCTGAGAAGAGAATGGAAGATAAGGTATTGCAATGCAATATGGCCATCCCCCTAGTGGTGGTGGGGGGGGTGATTTCTTCCTGTCTGTCTCTCTCTCCATTTCTCTGGCAAGCACATGTGCCCTATAGAAATGTGCTCTCTGGGAACCAGCAGTTAGCGTAATGGCTATGTCGCTGGACTCCCACATAGTCGACCAGGGTTCGCGTCCTGGACCCGGTGGCTTAAAACTCACGCCAGGCGCATGTGCGTGCGTGCCTAAGATCCCGAGAGGAGAATGGAGGAGAAGGGATTGCGGCGTGACCATCCCCCCTGGGGGGTGATTTCTCGCTTTCTGTCTCTATGTCTCTCTCTGTCTGGCGAGCGCACACGCCCTACGGTGAAAATCTCTCCAAAAAAAAAAAAGAGACTTTGTGCTCTCTTAAAAAAAAAAAGAAAAGGAAAGAAAAAAAAGAAAGAAAAGAAAATACTATCCATAAGTTTGTGTTCATTTAAACCAGAAATGTTACATTATAATTATTTCTGTTTAGGAGTAGATAAAATATTTAAACTTAAAGTAATGTCATGACTGGGGCCAGCAGGTGGCATGGTGGTTAAGGCACTGGACTCCCACACGGCCAACAGTGGTTCAAGTCCTGGATATGGCAGCTTGCTTTCTCACTTTATCTCTCTCTTTTTCTCTCTCTTTTGTGTGTGCATATGCCCTGTAGCAAATTTAAAATAATAATAATAAATAAATAATTCTTTTTAAAAAGTAATGTCATGAGGGAACCAGCAGTTAGCGTAATGGATATGTCGCTGGACTCCCACATAGTCGACCGCGGTTCGCGTCCCGGACCCAGTGACTTAGAACTCACGTCGGGCGCGTGTGCGTGCGTGCCCAAGATCCCGAGAGGAGAATGGAGGAGAAGGGATTGCGGCATGACCATCCCCGCTGGGG